CGGGCCGATCTAAGCGCATCGCGCCCAAATAATTTGCCAATACAAGCGAACAGAAGAAGAAGAAGACTCGATCGCTATCCCAGCGATCGAGTCTTCTTCTTCTCAGAAGTAACTGTCCTATTAAGTGTCAGCCGGCCCGTTCCCGCTTCTGTTTTTGACTATGTCTCTAACGACGAATCCACGACGGATCTCGGAACGTCAGATGAATAAAATTATTGTCCAAACGATCGAGTCGTCCTCTTCTCAGCATACAATACGTTCACTGTATTTGCACTATTACATCTTCACGTGAGTCAATCAAACGATTTATTGAAATCATTTGGAGATTATGTTTATAGTTATTGAGTGTAGTTGTTATTGTTGTCGTATGAATTTCTGATACATCGATGCTTCGAGATTGCGCGTAAATATCACGGCTTTATTGCAGTTATAGCAAATCTCTATTCATCATGCCAAAGTAGCTGGTCTGAAAAAGTCAATGCGTTTGAAATTTCAGACCCAAAAATTTAATGAGTTCTCTGCATCCTTGCCGTCTGAGGAAGCTCTAAAAGCAACGAGTACCTGCTTTACCAAACACATGTTCTCGACTGAAAAATTTGTTTTCTTGCCGAAATGATGCAATACCTACAGTGCTTGCGTTCTTTCAAATTCCCTTGTAGGCTGCTCCCTACCTTACTCTAACTCTTTAATCTTCATTCGAGCAGCAAAAGTGGATGGGAGACTGGGTAGTGAAATCCGTATCCCTCAATCTTGGCCAGGCGGCTTTGTGTGATGCAAACCAAGCCTCATTATGGGTCATAAGTAGCTGTATTCATAGGGGGTATACGTGCTCACGTACACATGCCTTGCACAAACTGTGCAGTATGTGGCCTTTCTCGTGGAACATTACTCAGTACGGTACGCTGCCAGACTCCCACAAAAGCATCATATCAGTAGCATAGATGTTGTATAAAAAGTTCCACGTATGTTTTGTATTACCGACAAACAGAGGGACTTCCACAAGTATGTTTAGCCCTTTTAGTGAATCCCTATCCTGTACTTGACCTTTAAATGCTCCCACGCCTCGAACCGTTCTGAATTTCGGTGCATCTTTTGTAGAAATTTTTTGGGAGCAGTGAATGCTCCCATGGAAATAATAATAATAATAGTCACGAAATGAATATGTTATTAATTCATGATACTACACAATTATAATAAGTAGCAATTGTTTTGTGATTAAGACGAATTGGCACCAGAAGTGCATAATGAAAACGCGCGTCCTCTGCTGTGCTAGTATCACCGGCCTTTCCGTGTTAGCTTCCAGGACTTTGTCGAACTCTTCTCGAAGGACTCTCCGTAGTATTCTCGTACCTCGGCTTGCATGGTGAACCTAACGCGGTATCGAACAGCGGTTCTGAGACTGAAGACGTATAATGACAGTACATATTAATAGTAAAAAGACCACCGTCAGTAACCATATTTAATTTTCGGAATTAAAGGCAATTTTTGTAAATGCATCAACAATTATTGGATATCGAAGCACGTGCCCCTGCCTTTCTGGTTGATAGATAGATAGATATGATATATAGACAGAGAACTATATTTTGATGAAAATATCAAAATTTTCAGCAAAAAATAGCTCCATTTAATGGCTTTATTTAAAGTGCACCTTTATATACTTAGTTTTAACCCGTTTGCTTTGATTTTGCCTGTTCTCCTGTTGCGTCTGCACTCAGAAAAACAAAAATTTCGGCCCTCAGAGAATTGGTTAATAAAATATTCCCTGTATCCTCATAATTGCGTCCCATTAAAATCGGTATTTGGTAGGTTTTGGCGCTAGGAACCGACCTCCGCCCCGTCGACAGCTATCTCGGCACAGGGAGCGTCTTGGAACCGCTGAGAAGCGCCTACGGAGACGAACCGCGTAGCTACATGGATTCCTACAGTGCAGGCGACGACGCTCTCAGTGGTTCCTTGATGAGCAGTGGTCGTGGTGGGGGTAGTCGAGTGCCGTTGGTGCGTTCCGCGAGATGGGCCCCGGTCTCCGGCAATTCTGGCAGCATCCTCTCCACATCCGACTTATCCAGGCCTCCCACGAGCCGACCGGCTTATGGGACACAACAAAGCTACCAGGACTTCTATCCATAGTGTTGTGGGTAACATTTCACACTCGCCAACTACCGCTTTCTCTATCGCCTTTCTGATCATGGAAGTTGTTATCGTCGCATCTGCAATACATCTTCTGCTACATTTTGGTTTTTACCATCAACTTTGAGTGTAAGCGCACACCCAGTCGTATAATAAGTACATAAGTGGAAGGTGGATAAGCTATTCTAAATAAACGCTAGTTTCTTTGTTTTATCTTGTGTTTAGGCAAGTCGTGTTCGTTGCTCAGCTTACATGCCTTGACCGCTGTTTGAATTTACCTCAAATTGGACTTCCGAGGGGCCGCCAAGCGCTCTTTGAGAGACCAATTTCTGCGTTCATTCATTCATTCTAGCCTGTTGGGTCTCTTTCAAACGCATCAGTATTCAGGTTAATTATCGGCTAGCCGGTGGCGCTGAAAGGTTTCAGCATGAGGAGTTTGTTCTGTACAGAACCCTGAACTGCTATCCACAGGTGGTGTTGGCTGCTTGATGTGTACCGCTAGTGTTAAGTCAGACTCACAAGTCCATGGTATTGTCTCCTTCCACGGATTTTGGGGCACAAGCTTCAGGATCATATTTCCAAGTGGTATGTCGTGTTACACGACACAAGAACGGTTTTGATTGGTTCGAATCGCACGTATGCAGGCATTCTGTCAAATTGTAAGCTCAATGTAGCCGGGGCTGCTACAAGGGAAGGTGAATAACTTTGAAGGGCGAGGGGTTGAACAAGTACGGTGCAACTGTGTGGTTCAACTACAGGGAAAAAAAGCTACGTGCAGAACTTTAAAGTGCAAGGGTATCGCTTCTCACAGACAGGAAGGTACGTTATTCATTAAATCAATAAATTCCTGCCATCCAGGCCTTTTTAGCCTTCACCAGCGGCTGCACAACTTTATGAAAATGACCAACTTTTTGCTGAGGTCTTGGCCAACGGACCATGACTTCAAAAGCCTATCGCATGTTAACCCCACTTTGCTTTCCGTTGTAGCGACCCGACTTCGGGTGCCTGTTGTAACGCTGAACCTCTCGAGCGTGCCAATGGCAGTCTTCTTGCCGGCCAATCACGGCTGTCTAAACCGACCAATCCTCTTCAAGGCATGCTCTCGCTTGCCACTACCAATCGGGACGTCGCTACCGCGGCTACGGATGTATGCCCTCTTGTGGATGACAAATTCTTCTAGCCTTTTTTCCACTTATTCTGTGCAGAATACAACATCGTCAATAGATGTGAACATGCGAGTTTCAGGAAGTAATTAAGAAGGAGTAGATGTGATCACTGGGACCAAACTGTTATTCGCCTGACATTTTTAAACCCGTCGCGGATCCCTCATCAGAGACAATAGCAGAAAAGAATAATTCATACACAGAGAATTGCAGTATTTATAGGATGCAGTCAATATGCAACTGCACATTTATGACAATTAACGGCCTTCCAACGCTGGTCTTCCAGCGCCACAGATCAAAAGTATGTGGATGACGCCTAAGTCATCATCGAACGAGATCGGGTGTTCACGTTAAAAGAACGTCTCAACGGCGTCTTCCCGACGTACAATTTACGATGGAAGAGGAAGAAAACAACCAGATGGTCTTCCTTGATGTCCTCGTCTACCGCAAAGATTGTGGTGGTCTAAAGACTTAAAAGTTCAAATACGGTGCAAGTACTGAACTTCAGCAGCAACCCCCAATCAACCACAAACGCTGTTGCATAAGGATGCTTTATCGGCATGTTGAGAAAATGGCTATCCGCGCAACTTCGTCAACCGGTGCTTGCGCTGACGAGATGACTAAGAAACCTCGCACCGACCCCTAAATTTGGCGAGCGATCCCGTACGTCAAAAACTTTTCGGAGGTTGTCGGCCGCCTTCTCGCACTACTTTGAGTTAGAGTCGCGTAGAGGTCGGAGGCAACTATAAGATGGCGGCTAATGAGACCAAAAGATCCACTGCCACGGCAAAAAGTATATGGATTCTTCTTTAGGATCTGGTGCACTTGCGGACAAAGCAACTACGTCGTGGAAGCTGGAAGACTTCTCAAGACGCGCATTGTCGAACACGCGGCAGCAGTGCAGAGAAATGACGCCAATTCTCAAGGTGCGGCTCATTCGGCTGAAAACCTCGCTAGAGATGACAAGCATGTGAACCGCGAATTGTCTGAATCAGGAGCTCTCAGCCTATTAACATGTGCAACCACCTGCTCAATCCATACTCGGTGCTAAGGCTTAATTTGGCCAAAGCAACTTGCCACTAGGGGATCGCACAGGCCAACACGTCCTCTAACACCAGGGCCAGGGAGCCCGATGGCCGAGCAATCGTCCCGTCCAATTTTACCACGTGTGATGAAACTTCAGTAGGTCACGGCTAGCCCGCCAGGCATGAAGAAATTTGCGCGCCAGAGGGCGGTTATCATCGATGGGGAGAGCCGTTAATTGTCAGAAGTGTTCAATAGTATGGCGGCTGTAGCAGCTGCAACTGCCTCTGCATGGATTACTCCTTTCTGATGCTGGACCCGCGACGGATTTCGGAAGGTCAGGTGTGTAAAATTTGTTTCCCAGCGATCACATTTCATTCTTCTTGGAAAACACCATGTGCCTCTCCAGCAATTCTTCCGAGTTGGGACCGATTCTGGAGGTCGTAAGAGCTTGGTTCTGTTTATGGCTTCAACGGCTGAAATGATACATTGACGAACACAATCTCTCGGGAGGGAGCGTTGCGGTCAGAAACTCGAAGGGTCAGCATTTAGTCAGCGTGCGCCAAGATGTTAGGTTTATTTGACAACCTAGCTGGCGTAGGTATGAGTTATAGCGTCAAAGCAAGATTCTCCAGGCTCCGGTCAGCGCGGGCGTTGCCACAATTTTATGCCACGCCTGGTGGGCGGAGACCATTAGCACCGGTGAGAGGGGTTTATTGTGCACAGGACCCTACATTGCTGTCTCAGGCTACCCTGGTC